TCGTGATGACGCCTACTGATAGGAGCTAGGCAAGCCAATTAATTAACGCTTTTCTCATTATCATTAGCAAAATAAAGAAGAACGAGGCAATTAACATAAAAGCGAAAATCTCGAAACATAAATAACAGAAACCAAGTACGGAATTTCACATACACCTCTACCCAGATCTGGTGTCACTAACTCACGAACTTCTACTGAATGCTAAATACAAAGTCTGAATGAGTATACAGTACTGTCTGATCCAATACAAGGGAAATCAAACGAAAAGCAGAGATAAGAGAGACTCCGGGCCATGCGGACGCCAGCAAGCTACCTCGGAATCTCCGGACTGAAGTAAGCTCCCAACGCTCCTACTGCTGACCAAAGGCTCCTGCTCCGGTACTATGATCTGTGCAAAAAGCACAGAAGTGTAGCATCAGCACAACCGACCCCATGTGCTGGTAAGTGCTTGGCCTAACCCCGGCGAAGTAGTGACGAGGCTAGACAGGGCCTACCAAAAACAACCTGTGCAGATAAATATATACAAGGCAACAGAAAATAACAACAGAGAATATCAACTAAAAAGGGGAAGGGGGCATGCTCGGGAAAAACACGGCGAATACAGATCAATGGATATAACGACGAAACTATCTCAATATCATAGCTAATATATATAAGTGGTCGGCGTGCCACACGATCCTATTTCTTAATTCATAAGTGGACGGCGTGCCACACGATCCCATTTTCATAATATATAAGTGGTCGGCGTGCCACACGATCCCATATTATAGTATATAAGTGGTCGGCGTGCCACACGATCCCATTTTCATAATATATAAGTGGTCGGCGTGCCACACGATCCCATATTATAGTATATAAGTGGTCGGCGTGCCACACGATCCCATATTATAATTCAAAATATCTGACTTTGGAAAAAAGGCCCCATTAGGAGAATTCGACAACATAACACTTTAACCCGGCAAGGGTACAGCTAACAGCCCAAATATCCCGACAAGGGAGAGTACATAATAATAGTCTACATGTTCCGGCAAGGGAATAATCACAACACATCCTCTTTTGAATCATTTCTTTCTCAACTATCACATTCTTGTTCGAACCAACGTTCCAAAATATACCAATCACAATTCCTCCTCAACCGTTCACATTATAAGAAATTTATTCATTAGACAAGGTAGTGGTGTCACATCATTCGATTTAAAAACAATTAAGACTCACGGTCATGCTAGACACCGATGTATAGATACTCGTCACCATGCCTATACACCGTACTCCACATTTAGCAAGTAGCAAATAACATCCTAATCCTATTCCCTCAAGCCAAAGTTAGAACAAACACTTACCTCGGTCCAAAGAATAGCAATCAACCCTCAATTACCGCCTTTCCTCTACAATCCGGCTCCGAAACAATGGTATCTAGTCATAATTAGTTCAATAATATCAATAAGGGCTCAAAAACATAATCTCATAGTCTAGGAATGAATTTTTCCAACCATTCTCCCAAAACACCAAAATTCGACATCGGTCCCACATGGTCCAAACACGAGGCTCGGACCAAAACCCAATCACCCATAACCCCACGAGTTCAAATATATAATTTATTTCAAGATTCGACCCCAAATTGAGGTTGAATCACCCAAAATTCCCAAAAACCTAACTCTACCCAAAACCCTTAATTTCTACTTTGATTTCATGATTTAGGGCTAGGAATTTAGTAATTAGATGAAGAAATAATGAGGGAATGATGTTAAGATTACTTACCCAAAGAGTTATGGAGGAAGGAGAGCTTGAATTTCGTCTATGGAGGGTTTAAGAGAAGAGCTCGTGTGAAAAAAATGAGAAATCCCGTGTTGCTACTGTTCTGGACATAAAAATATAACTGGGCGTATTTACTCTATGCGATCGCAGAAGGAGGCTTGCGATCGCATAGGGGAAGGGAAAATTGACCACTGCGATCGCAGAATGGGTCATGCGAACGCATAGAAGAAAAGGGGCTATGCATACCGGGGTTGGTTTAATGAAACGCGATCGCGGAAGCTTAATGCGATCGCAAGGAATGAAGGGGCTAAGGTACGCGATCGCAGAGGAGTTCATGCGATCGCATAGAACAGAAAATGGGCCTGATCAATTAACCCTGCGCGATCGCAGAAGAACGTACGCGATCGCAGACACCAGCAACAACAGTTTTCTGCAGCATTCCTAAGGCTAAAACCATCCCAAAACACATCCGAATCACACCCGAGCTCTCGGGCTCCTAACCCAACACATGGACTAACTCAACAACATCCTACGAACTTAACCGTGCGATCAAATCGCCTAAATAACATCAAAATCCATGAATCAAGCCTCAAAGTCATCATTTTCATTTCAAACTTCTTAAACTTCTAACTTTAGATATTTAGGTCCGAAACACGTCAAATGACGTCCGATTTCGACCAAACTTTACAGAAAGCGCTTAACACATATTTAAGACTTGTACCGGGCGTCGGAACCAAAATACGAGCCCGATACCATAGTCTTTTAATCAATTTTCATTTTCATTTTCCTTAGGAATTTCAGAAAAACAATTTCACAGAAAAATTCATTTCTCGGGCTCTCGACCTCGGAATTCGACTCCGGGCATATGCCCGAGTCTCATATTTTTCTACGGACCCTCCGGGACCGCCAAATTACGGGTCCGGGTCCGTTTACCAAAAATGTTGACCAAAGTCAACTTTAGCAATATTAATATCAAAATTCTTCAAATTTTTTCACAAAGTAATATTTCAACATAAAAGCTTTCCAGCTTTGCGCTCGGACTGCGCACGCAAATCGAGGCAACTAAAAGCGAGGTTTTTAAGGCCTCGGAAGCTCGGAAATAGGGAGAAGTCCGGTGATGACCCTTTGGGTCGTCACACATTTGATCCCTTACTTTAGTTTTGTTGCATGTGCTTGTTGACACAATTTTTATATTATAAATGGTGTTCGTCTTGTTTTAGCTTCTTTTTGTCTATATTAGTTAGGCGCGTTTATAGCGATATACTTTCCGTGGAATCCCGCAAATTTTTTTATTGGTGTAATCGATAACCGAATCGATAAGCCCCCAAAATCGATAAATCGAAATCGAAAAAATCGAAACCTTATTGAAACGATAACGATAAGCATATGTACAAATCGATAATCAATAAGTAATTATCGATAAGGGTCAAAATCGAATCGATAAATCGAATGCACACCCCTAATTAAAGCATATAAAATACAAGGCAAATAATGTACGAAACTATGGAATTATAGCCACACATCAATTGCATTCATCAAACAATACAATACGATGTAGTACAATACAAAACAATATATTATGAAACGACGTGTAACAATAATCCAAATTCTCTGTAAATCACATCCCTAACGAAGACAAAATTTAACGAGAAACAATGAGCATTGACCTTAGTGAAGGGCCTTGTCTTTTGGTTAGATTTGATGAAAAGGACAAAAAAATTATGCCAATGAGTATATATAGACCATAGTGTAGGACAAAAATTAGGTTCTTGTCTTTTTGAGTAGATTTAATGAAAAGGGCAGCCAAGAAGTTTGTTGAAAGAAGTCATATTTCCCTGATCTGAAATTTATAAAGTATGGCACCATCAGCAATCGGGGTTTATATCAAGCCAGTAAATTAAGATATATTTTTTTGTATATATATTTATTATTTAATTATAATTAATTTATATGTATATTTATTTTAAATGTTAACTATTAAGATCAAATTATTTAATTTAATGTAACATCACTGAATTGCTTTGTGCATCTATTGGTTGGTCATGTAAATTGTGGTATCCAAAACCAATAAAACTAAGTCCACGCAAACCATTCATTCCATGCCAACTTTGTTGACAAATCCTTCTCTCTTTTTTTGTCTTATTATCTGTTACCAAACAAGTCAGCACATTTCTACATTTACGAATCATTTAATTTTACATTCTCATTAATTTTATTGACATACTTTTATAGAAACTTATATGATTTGCGGTCTATATATATTATATAGACACACACTCACATGTACATAGTATACTTTTAATCTATATGATTTAAGTTATTTATATTCCTGCTATAGCCAAATCGTCTTGTATTTGTGTGTAACTTTAGTAGAATTCCAGCTTGGATTGGATGGGTTGGACGTGTCAAGATACATTAGGAAAAAGATTTCAAATTTAACGCACCGCTTTTAATTATGGTTTAAAATTACCATCCATTATATTTCAGGCTGGACCCCTGACAAGGTGAAAAGCTAACGCAAGATAATTTGCTAACAGTAAGGGCATGATTTGACCCGAAACATAACCAAAGGTAAAATTTGGCTTGCGGGCTCAGGGACTGCAGTCAGTTACTTCCTTGTAGTCATCAGCTCGTTCTTGACAGATCCGATCGGGTGTTCATAATCTGTAGTAAAAGGATTCGAACCTTGCATGCTGGTACCAACAACCGATGCCTTACCACTTTGGCTCCGTAGGCATGTTTTGGACGGTAGGAACGGGGAGATGGGGAAGGGAGAAGCAGGGCTCGAAGAACGTTAGAGTTTAAATTATATCTATCATCAACGTAAATATTTTTATATCATTATGTCACCTTTACATGATGTAATAGGTAATATGTATTATTTTTAAGATTGTATATAACCACATTTTAAGGAGATTTACCTCTAGATTTTCTTTGGATGACCTGATTGTAAATTTCTTTTACTCTAATAGCGTAAACGACTTAAACTCTATTTCATATATTAGTAGGGATACTTTTTCCTTTTAAACTTACTTATTCAGCTTCTAGTCAGACATTGTTACATGTGGAGTATAAATTTTTAATATATTTTCAAATTTGGATAAGTTTTAGCCAGAATAATACTCTGCTCTAATTATATGCCAACTTATAATTCCAGACTACCCTTTATTCACATGATCACTGCATTCATACCTAATTCCAACTTCACTCCATTTATTGCCTATAAATACCCATCATAATCTCTAAGTGCTAAAAAAACTCATCAAGTAATAAAGAAGCCAAAACTATTTGCTTGCTATAAGGCCACAAATTAACCTATGGACTCAAAAATATCCTTTGTCACTCTCTTTTTTTCCTTCAATCTTTTTTTCTTTACCTTTGTTAGTAGCGGCTGGTATCACAATAATTTACACGTATCGCTATATGTTTCAGCTCCGAAACCAAAGACAAACCCTAACCCTAACCTGAATCGAAACTTGAACCTGAACCTGAACATGAACCCAAACTCGAACCTGAACCCGAGCCCGAGCCCGAGCCTATCAGAAGAATCTTGCCCTAGAGATGCCCTAAAATTAGGGGTATGTGCCAAGTTGTTAAATGGGATTGTGGGAATAGTTATAGGAAATCCACCAAAGAAACCTTGTTGTTCATTATTAGGTGGACTTCTGGATATTGAAGCTGCACTTTGCCTTTGCACAGCTATGAAAGCAAACATTCTTGGAATTAATATTAACATTCCAATTTCATTGAACTTGCTTATGAATATTTGTGGGAAGAACCTCCCCTCTGGCTTCATCTGTCGTCCTTGAAGTTTTTTTTGTTTAACCATCTGGTATTAAGTGCCGGCTAAATGGTGACTTTAGCCACAAGAACTTTTTATGTATTATATATAAAATTATAAAACAACAACAACAACTATTATTAATGAAAAAGTTGTGAATTTTATGTTTTCTTTCTTGGATTAATTTGGTTGAAGTTATCCGTATGAAAATTAAATAAGTTTTTGTCTTTTATTAATTAGTGCCTTTATCTCTGCTTTTAGTTTTTATTTTTATTCTCCTCTACACATATCCTTTCATTTTTCCCTAGATTATAATGAGTTCAATTTTCAATTTTTATTTAATTTTTCTGAATCAATTTTTTCTATTTGTAATTACATTTGAATTATTCATAAATCAAAGAGCAAGTTCTATAACGTTGGGTCTTACTTAATCTCAGCACCACCTTTATTTATTTCTTATTTTCTCCCACTTTATTACTACTATTAATTGGGAAGTGAGTACATTAATCAGTTTTAACTTTTTTAATAGCAAGGGTAGAGTTAAAAAATAATAATAATTCTATCTTGGTTTTCCAAAAGCGACAAATATATTCAACATTTTTCTCCGGTTTATTAAGGGAGATACTTTGAGTATGTTCAATTGGTTTATGCACTTATATCGTTGGGGAGCAGGCTCCCGAAGAGACTAGCTCAACGAATGTCTCGCTCCTTATTAAGATCATATTGGCATACTCTTGCAAGAGAGAGAGAGCAGATCCCATTGAAGACGAGAACGCAGTACCATAAGGGTATTTTTGTCCACTGCCTTTCTCACGGAGCCGTACGTGGACGTTATCGCTCATAGAACTTGTCACACCCCTTTTTCTACCCCAAAAAGATATGTGTATGAATTTATGGGGTAAAGATTTTTCCAATTAAAGTGACAAACTTGAGTAGAGATTATTGTATTGCTCAGAGTCGCCACTTGGAATTGATTTTTCGGTGTTCCAAGTCACCATTTATTTGAATTCCTAGCCAAAGGAAGGTTTGACTCTATTTTTATCGGTCCGCAAAAACAAAGTACGGGTAAGGAATTCTATTAACCGGGGAGAAGGTGCAAGGCATTCCCCGAGTCCCGTGGTTCTAGCACGATTGCTTTATTGACTTAAACTTGGCTTTAATTATTTATGGACAAACTATGATTTGTATGATTTTCATGTTTTACCTATCCGCTTTTATTTCTTGATTATTAGAATTACTAAACAAAATAATTTAGATAATATTATGTTGTCATAACCACGCTACGCAAGCGAAAGCGTGATCGAATAATAATAATAAAATTTAAATTGTCATAATTGCGCCTCGCAAGTGAATCTGAAATCACGACAATCAATTATTTGTAATACTTTTAAAAAATTACTACATTTGAGAAAATTAGCTCTTGAAAATTTAAAAGTCAACTATCGCGCTATGCAAGCGAATCCGTAATTTTAGCAAAGGATTAACTAAATTAAAATTTAACTAAAAACTAATGGGTATGGTATGAGATTATTGAATTAATTTATTGAATGTTAAACGTTATGCTACACAAGCGATTCAGTGAGTTAAAGCGCGCCTACTATGCCTAGCGTTTAAATTAATTGAAAATAATTAAGCTATCAAGAAGAATGAAAAAAAAAAAGAAAAAAATTTTATTAAAAGACACATACACTTTTATTGGATCTGTGGAAGAAACTTTGTTTTTAGGGGAAAAGACAGACTACCTATAATAGTGAAACTATTTACCGGCCCTATCCATTAAAGAATTCTACCCACTAAATAATTACAACTCCTACCCATTTAATAAATAAACGGCAATAACAAAATAATTACCCACGCTTTTAATGCCCTACGTATAAAAACGCAGAAGCTGCTTAAAATTTCAGAAAATTTGCGCACAAACGTAGAAAAATGCAGAAGCTCCTCAAAATTTCAGAAAATTAGCGCACAAAATTGAGATTTCCACCGATCGAAGAGCAGTAAGTGTGAAAAAACAGATCGAAGATGCTGATTCGGATTTTAATTTCGCTGTTCTCTTCAGATTTTGATTTCGCTGTTGATTTGATTTTGATTTCGGAGCTAAACTTCTGAATTTTAGCTGAAAATTCTAATCTTGGTTTGGAGATCTGGAGATCTAGAGGTTTGATTTCGCTGTTGTTTTGTTGAAATTTCGAACACTGTTGAAATTTGCATTGTTGAGATTCAATTTTGGACATAAAAGTGATTATAACTTTAGAATCATGAAAAATATTCCAATTCTGCTGCAACATAGTGGAGAATGGGATGATAACAATAATTTCATAAATTTTCATGTTGATGAAATTCTAATAAAGACCTATTGGAAATTTGAACAACTTCTCAGAGAAATTGCAAAGCAACTGCAAAAGGACAGTAAAACAATAGTTATTCATTATGCTATTGCTCAAGGATATCCACCGATTACAATTTGCAGCGATATGAGTTGTTAGTGTTTACATGGAATTGAAAAAATCAAGTGCAGGGATGACAACATTTCCCCTGTGTGTGTCGTTTGCTAAAAACACTATAGCTGCAAGCACCTCCAGTTTCGATGTTGCTCCAATTTCATCAGAAATTGCAGAATTTGAAAACACTGATATGATTACTACGTTTGATGTGCAAGAAGGAGATGACGCAATTTTAGAACTTGATGATGCAAACATCATAACTGATCAATTTCATCAAAATGTTGAAAAAGGACAAATTTACAAAGACAAGAACCTGCTGGCTCTCGTTATGAAACAGTATGCCGTAAGGGAAAAATGCCAATATCGGGTTCATAAATCATGCCCAAGAAGGTTCGTCTGCATGTTTTCAAGTAAAAAACTATGTGATACCTATATAGTTAGTATATAAGTATGCTAAATCAGTGATACTGCTATAGTATATAAGTATAATATATCAGTATACTATGCGAGTATATAACTGTATTGGTTTGTCTTTTTTATTATCAGTAAAACATAATACCAATATAGTATATATGAATGCTAAATCAGTATACTATGTGAGTATAGAATCATTTTAGTTATCAGAAACGTACATTGAAAGAAGAATGGCACAACATGGATGTGGAGTGCTTAAACAAAAGTATCATCTTTAAATGATTAGATGTTTTTTCTTTTGTCTGGGATGAGTGGAACTTACATGTTTCACTTTTACATTTAAGTTACTGACATATGTTCTGCTAAAGATAGAGAAGGGTCTTTCTAGCCTGGAGCAGTTAAAACCGAATCAAGAGCTTGGTGACTAAGGAGTTGAAACCGAATCGAAAGATACACATGGAATAAAGATAAAAATAAGCACAAGTTCAAGTACGACCAACACTTACTTCTTTCATTTATTTATAACTGAGACCACGATGCAAACAAGGGTAGCTTAAATGGAAATAATTTTATAATACTAGGCTTAACTAGAAAAATATAGTACATTGTCATTAAGTTATTTGTTGGAACCTGGTCCCCCAAAAAAGACCGTATGCCCAAAAGCATTATTGGTAATTGGTTCATCATCAACCCGGTAAAGTGCGTGGGCATCTTCAAACTCTGATACTAGAGCCCCGGGATCCTCACTTTTTCCATCAATCAGAATTAAAATTTTGTATGGATATAAGTATACCAACAGAGTATATAAGTATACCACCAGAGTATACCATGTGAGTATATAATTGTATGGATTTTTGTGTGTTTTTTATCAATAATACATGATACATAACTGTATTTGTATTATAAACAGGTATATCCTTGAATGCGTGGATGAAAGATGCACTTGGAGACTTAAAGCATCAAGCCTGTGAGCATCAAATCTTTTCAAAGTGACGGATTTCAATTCTGTCCAGAGTTGTTTAACTGATAAGAGATTTTGTTCACAAAAGCAAGCTGTCTCAGCTTTTGTTGCAGCTGTGGTACAAGATAAACTTATTGACCTGAAAACCATATATACACCAACAGATATCCAAAGAGACATCCAAAAAGCATATGGCATGGACTTGAGCTACATGCAAGCATGAAGATCAAAAGAAAAAGCAATGCAATTATTGAAACGATCACCAAGTGAGTTATACAAGAAAATGCCAACATATCTTTATATGTTAGAGTACGCTAACCCAGGATCAGTGACACGACTACACATTGAAGGAGATGGGAGCTTCTTGTATGCATTCGTAGCTATATATGCATCAATTAGAGGATGGATCTATTGTAGGCCAACAGTTGTAGTTGATGGAAGTTTTTTAAAGTCAACATATAGAGGGACCATACTCACGGCTTCCACGCAAGACGCAGAGGGTAAGAATACAATCCAATTACATTCAGTTAAAGAAAAAAAATATTTTCAAATATTATATGATACCAATATGATATACAAGTATACCAACAGAGTATATAGTTGTTTTGCTACACACCTGCATCGAATATTATATGATACCAGTATGGTATACAAGTATACCAACAGAGTATATAGTTGTTTTGCTACAGATTTGCTACACATCACTGGAGATAGTAGCTCCGGCAGTAGAACTGTCTTCAATGGAGAATTTATCACTCTGCACATGCCAATTATAATATATTTCAATGTTGTCACCTTTTTGCTTTTTTTTCTTTTCTTTTGTGTGTGAGGGATTGGGGAGACTTACCTCAGACACAGTTAACAGTCCTTTGTAATTTGCTCCACCCTTATCAGAATCAATAGGCACACGACAATGAACACTTCCAGCTTGAAGTTTCATTTGGAAACGTATTCTTCTATGAGAAGTTCCTTGCATTCCAGATCCAAACTGCTTGTCATCAGGTTGATTCTGCTTGAGCAGAGTCCTTAGTTTTATTCCAGTTCTAAAAATAGAATCACTGCCTACAGTGCTATAAGCGCTTGAGTCTTCAACATTTAGTAAGTAGGGGACCTGCATTCCACCAGAACCAGCAGACAAAGCAGCATCTCCAGGGTAGTCATTGTTAAGGAAGTCAAGATTCCCCATCGAGCGATCACTGCTAACATTAGGTGTCGCAAACGCCTCTTCCACTGTAGTTGCAACAGAATTAACCTCTCTCGTTAATGCAGTCTGCGCAGAATTTCCCCACAGCACCTCGGGTTCAAATAAATTGTTCCCAACCTGGGATAAAAGAACATCAGCAGAAGATCTG